CAGGAACTCTATTGCACTGCTGTTAGTTACGAATTGGTCCAACCATTTTGGAAAGCAATTTGGAGATATGTCCAAAATGTCACTAAAATGTATATACACATCCTTTATGCCAGCAATACTACTACTAGATTTACATACCAAAGAGGGAAAGAGAGACAAAAAGGGCCAATATTTACAGTAGCTCTATTCATAGTAACAAAACAAAAAGCAACTAGAAATATACAGGGTATCTACCTATCGGGAAATGGCTGAACAAATAATAGTATATGCATTTAATGGAATGTTATTGTGCCACAAAAAATGACAAAATGGATACTTTTAGAGGAAATTGGGAAGACCTCTATAAATTGATGCAGAATGAAGTGAGTAGGAGAACAATTTATACAAATACAATTTTATAAAAAGCAACAAAAACCAAAACAAAAACTTTGAAAGTCCCTTTGAAAGCAGAGACAGGGCTTAACCCACTGAGTCAAATTATTTGTGGAAAGGCTATATAAAAGCATGGACCCAAAGTATGGCTATTCCATATGTCTCCAGGAATCTGGTTACTTGGTCAGTGCCCAATTACTTGTGATGTTTTGCAGCAAGACACCGTCCTCTACCATGTGGTTTGTGGGCAAATATGCCCACTCTACGAACTACTCTCAAAGCGATAGCCATTAGAATTAAAAAGGTGAGTTAATATTAATTGGTGTTATGTTTATAAAAAGAGCCTCATCTATGCCTACTTCTTCATTCTAGTACATGAACTGTTGGTGGAAATGTTATTTGGTCTAACTGTTCAGGAAAACATTTTGGAATTATACTAAAAAAGTTATTTTTAACGCATACACTTTGACCCATATATATCAGTACTAGGCACATTTGCCCCCAAGGAGATCAAAGACAGAGGGAAAGGTCCTACACATTGATATCAATGTATATATTTATATTTATAATAATATTTTTTGTAATATCAGATAACCAAATGGGGCCTGGATGGAAAAACTGTGGTATATGAGTGTAATGGCATAATCTTGTACCATAAAAAGTGATAAATATGAAGAATTTAGAAGAACTTGGGAATATCTATAAGAATTCATCAAGAGCAAAGTAAACAAGCAGGAGAACAATTGACCACAATAATATAAAGAAAAACAACATTGAAAGACTTTATTGTGCTGATCAACGTACACTTTGACTAATCACAACCAAAGACTTGATGGTGAAGCATGTCTTCCATCTATTGGTGGACGGTAGGCATCTGATGAGACCAGACATGACCAATATGTTGATATTTTTTTCTTGACTATACTTGTTACAAATGAAAGGTTCTTTTGGGAATGGTGGGAGGGAAGATCATTGAGAAGTGTCAGTAACTTAACAAAAAAAAGAGGAAAAAAGCATCAGTAAAACATTCTTAAACAAGTAAATTTTAAAATGCTGGCCTTGGAGTCAGTAAGACTTGCATTCAAATCCTGACTCTGAATATTTACTAGATATGTAATTCGGGCAAGTCATTTCATGCCTCTGGGCCTCAGTTTTCTCACCTATAAAACATGACTTATGTTTGTATTGTCTACCTCAACAGTGTTAAGTACTTTGTAAACCTTAAAGCCCAGTTCCATAAATGCAAGGGTTGCGTGTTGTCTTGTGTATCTCCAGCACCTCGAACAACATTTTATTAAGCTCTGAATAAATGGTTGTTGAATTGAATTGTCAAGATGTTCAGAAGTCAGCTATAGCTGGGCAGAATGTTAACAGGTAGAGTGGCAAAGATTTGCCAGGAATTACAGACTGCTGGATAGAGCTGAAAGGGACCTTCAGATCATTCAGGACAACCTCATAATTTTTACAAGTGAGGACACTGAGGTTCTGAGAAGGGGGGTGATTTCCCCAGTCACACAGCTAATAAGTAGCAGAGCTAGATCCCCAAATCTGGCCTTTTCCCTCCAAATGCAGTGCTCTATCCACCATGATATTGAAGAAACAAATAGCTGGCCAGATAGAATATAGTGCCTTGAACATAGTAGGTGCTAATTCTGGAAATGAATGAACTTGTGTTCAAGGAGGTCATTGTAATTCAAGTAGCTAAAAGAAGGCACTCTAGGCAGTCAGAGGGAATGCTTAGGACCTCCTGAGGCTTCCCTAGAAACAAAATAATTGCCTTAAGAAAGGCCAGCAATTGCAGGTGATTGGGAAATCTGGGAGGTGTACTCAGTACATTTTGAGGAAATAAATCCTGCAATTTGCTGAGGTTAGAAGACTATGACTGCTGGCATAGTTGATATTGACAAATGTGAAGGTATGGAGTGAAAAACTAAACCTATGCTCATAAGCACTATTAAAGAAAATCTTCTATTATTTCTAATAGACTTCCATACAGTGAGACATTTTTTTTTTTAGGCAAGTGGGGTTAAATGACTTGCCCAGGGTCACACAGCTAGTAAGTGTCATGTGTTTGGTCTAAGGCCGTATTTGAACTCAGGTCCTCCTGACTTCAGGGCTGGTGCTCTATCCACTGCGCCACCTAGCTGCCCCTTGAGACATTTTTTAAATTTGAAAAACCTGGTCAAAGTCCTTAGCCAAAGATTGAGTACTACATACATGAGTCAGTCTGTAGTGGAGCTCAGCAAAATAAAAAGAAAAAAAAAGGAAAAAAAAGTATTTTATAGTTATTTGTCATAAGAATTACTAAGTGATTTAGAATTTGGGAGTCAAGAGATAGAGATTCTAATTTTGCCTCAGACATTTGCTTAGCTAGAGCTCAGGGCTCTCAGTTTCCTTATCTATAAAATGGATATTCCCATTTTCACATGGTTTCTGTATGGAAAGTGCTTCCTAAACCTTTATAAAGGGCTATATGTGTGACTATAATTTTACTTTTTTTTTTTTTTTAGGCAATTGGAGTTAAGTGAAGTCAGGTCCTCCTGACTTCAGGGCTGGTGTGTATCCACTGCAACACCTAGCTGCCCCATTACCTTTTTTTTTTTTTTTTTGGTCTAATCCTGTGAGTTTATTAGTATAAGGAAGTCCCAGTGTATAAAGTCCCAGATGCTGATCAGCTATTGTTTGCAATTTATGGTCTTAGCTACCTAGGACACTGACAGGTTAAATGACGTTCCTGTGGTCAAAAAGTAAGTATGTAGCAAAGGTAGGGCTTGAGTCTTGGTCTTCCTGACTCCAAAGCTCACTCCACCAGGTTATTCTTCCTCTCATTATTATTGTTATGACCATTCATTTACAAGAGTAGAAACCTCCCAGATGAAGCCTATTACATTATTCCTGTTTTTATGAGGAGGACAGGCAAGGAGATTGCCTAAGTTTCTAGTCAGTAACATTTGCTGAATGCCCATCATGCACCAAGAAGTATGCTAGAAGAGGCCAATATTGTGCAATCTTCTATAAAGAGGTTTACAGCCAAGTTCAATCAGTTTAATATAATTGGACCATGGCCATCTCTAAGCCATATGGGGAAGTATATGAAGTTGGTCTTTGCATCTCCTCCTACCTGAAACCCTGTCTCTCTTTCTTTTTCTATTTGTATCCCATTTTAGCAAGGCCTCAATCTTTGAAGTTACCTTCCCAGTTAGCTGGTAACAGTTCTAAATATCACCCCTCCTTAGAGCCCTCTTGAAGAAGAAAATGCCCTTTATTATTATCTCTTCAGGATGGATGCTCTGTCCACCCGTAGCAGATCTCAACACATATCCTCCATGCTTAACCATCTCATATGATTTTTGTCCATGTTTTCCCTTATATTCTATAAAGTAATGATCTCCAAAGTAGGGATTTATATAACAGAAGTATATATGATCCATAGAGGGGTGGGAAGAAGATATCATTTCTATTGATTTTGAAATCTAAAATATATGTAAAATGAAACTTTACTAATAGTTACTATGTAGATTGACCGGAGAGCCATCACTGGCGTTGTACGTCAGGCATCGGCCACATGACACAAAGCTGCAAAAATGGGTAGAATTGGAGTTTAACATTGCAATTTCTCTCAACAGGACTGAGCACGTTCAGAAGCTGGGCAAGTTTGGGCTATAAGCAGGAAGCCTTTTGTACAACCCTGATGCCCTATGAACAGTTACAATCTCCCATTCTTCCCTTCTTTACCCCAGGCCCTCCTCCTTGACAAAGAGAACCTTTCTTTCTCTGTGTACCCTAGATTCCATCCCGTCCCCTCCCATTTTCTCCAGCACTGCTACACAAAGTACAGTGCTGTAAGGTTTCTCATTGCTTTCCCCACCCCCTTTCCAGGCCCTTATCCCATCGGCCCCAGGTGGGAGAAAAGGAAGTAGAAAACACTTACGGGGTAGGGGTTGGGGGCGTGGCGGCAGAGTAGTGTGTGGTGAGCTTGGAGGTTAAGAAGACCTCCATTCAGATCCTGCTTCATACACTCACTGCCTGAGTTACCTTGCAACCAATCCAACATTTCAAGAGCCCCGCCCGCGCCAACTCGAGGTTTTTTTTTGTTTTTGCTAAAATCATTGGCTTTCTCTACCTAGGCACCTAGACCAGCAGTCCCCTAGACCTATTGCACGGGGGTGGTGGTTGCTTTTGTTCTCTCAGCCCCTTTCCCGACTGCCTTTTCTTGGCTCTACTCCTGAAGTCCCGCTCAGGTAGTTCGGGGAGAGCAGTGAAGAGCACGCGCTTTTTTCCAGCAGCCCCTGGTTCCCGCGAGTTAAGCCCAGGCCTAGAAGAAAGCCTCGTTACCAACGTGCGCTGGGTAGTCGTACAACATCCCAACTCTGAACGCCCCGCTACTCTATCCACTGCCCCTGATTGGCCGCACCGAGGGAGAGCGATCGCGCGTCTCTCCAACCGTAGGTAGACTTTCCGTGGCGTCCTCCGTCCCCGCCCCTTGGGCCGCCTGCGGTAACCATACAGCCCTTCGGATTGGCCGAACCTGAGCTGGGTCCGCAGCCCCTACGTGTAGCGTGTAGCGCCGCAGCTGTTCTACTTCTAGCTAGGCTACGTAGGTAAGAGCCATCGTGCGGTGGCTGTAGCCTGGTTCCTTGGCGTGCCCAGCGTGCGGGTGCTCCTTATTGTCTCTAGCTCCCTTTGCAAAGATACAGGCCAGGGGAATTGCAGGTGAGTGCTGGCGGGCGAGGTGGGGCACGCGAGTCTGGAAATGCAGGAAGGGAAAATAAAAGGATTGCTGTAAATGTCCGTATGATCACATTTTCAGCATCCAAGGAGGTTTTTTTTCTCCAGGTCTCAGCTCTCGTTCGGTTGGATTTTACACGGTTTTGTTTTCATTTTCCTACTATTTAGAGGGGTGTGTGTGTGTGTGTGAATGAATGTGAATGTGTGTATGTGAATGTGTAGTGTGTGTGTATGTAAGCGTAAGGCGGGGAGAGAAGAGACGAAATCAGTAGAGTTAATATGAATGGCTTTGCAAACTGCGAGAAGGAAGAAAAAGAAGAGTGAGTGGAGATGCTGCAAGAGCAGAGGCGAATGAGTGTTAGTGTTGGGACAAGACATTGATGCAGCCGGTTGGCAAAGAGGGTTTACGTTGTCAGTCAATGCTCGTCCGTCATTGTAATCTTACTCACTTTGAGAGAACGTGTATCTGGGCAGGGTGTAAATCTCTGGCCGACTTAAAGACCTCAGGCCGTGCGTTTTTGAAGAGGTAGCCTTCTCCTGCTCCTTATCTCCATTTCCCTGCGGTGCTCAGGCATGATTCCACTTCCTTGCGTCTTGCTAATAAATAATTTTCACAATGGGTTTCGCTGGTAAGTTTGGCCTCAGAGGGAAGGAAGAGTGAAATCCTATCTATCTAGTGATGAGTTAGCTGGAGAAAGGAGCTAGCTGGTGAATGAGAATTTACAATGCTTATATCCTGCCTGATCTCCTGGGCTCCTCTTAACTGACGCCCGAGACAATGAGTTGTCATCAGGGGCTCTGGCTTCCAAGGCGCTGGGCACTTAGAGAGTGCAGTGCTGTGCGCCCTCTGTGTTGTGAAGCAGGATGTTTGCAATTACGGTTTTTACAATTCTGGCTTTTCTTCCCTGCCAAACTCGCCCCATATTGTCCCTTTATCCCCTGTATGCCACTTTCTGTCTGAGCTGGGCCTGCTTTTGTTTACAGACTTCATCATTGGGTGAGAGCTTGCTACTCCTGGAATCTGCTTGACTCTTTCCTTTTGAGTGGTTGGTAAATGGGTGGGCGATGCCTTATAGACTGTCAGGTGACTTTCCTCAGGCTCTTTTTCAGAGATGATGATGCAGTGCAATGTATTCCTTAATTCCATTTCCCCTTCCATACTAGCTTGTGTCTTTGCTTCCGATGAGCAGTGCTTCTAGTAAGCTATGTGGTATATCTGTGAATCTTCTTCATTGGAGTACAGGGGATACTGATTGAGTAGAACTGTAGGATTCAGCAGTGCAGATTGCAACAACAGAGCGCCCACCATGCTGAAAAGCTTGGGGGAGGAGAGAGAGAGGCATCAAAGCTGAGATATTGATGTAATCTATCAGCGCTGACTTTACCATGTCCTTCTTCTCCCCCCCCCTTACCCTGAGTTAAAGGATTGTTTCCAGCCACCCCCCCCCCCTTATGGCTCAGTGGTATTTTTGCCTTTAACATCTCATGTTCTGTTTGGGCTTATGTTTAGGTGTTTAATATTACATGCATGCTCACAAATGTAGTATTTCTTTTTCTGGTTTGTATTTCAGTTAGCCTTAGCCTTTAGTTTGCTGTGCTGTACTTGATGTCAGAGAAAGTTGTTTGCCTTAGTGAAGATGTAGAACCTTCCAACTCCTTCATCTTGCACAGTTGCTGTGTGGCAAAATGATACACGTATGTGGATATATGTATGTATACACAAACATATTTACATACACACAATTTGAAGGATAAACAGCTGAGGGATTAAGCAGTTATCTTTGAGAAGAGAAATAGAGGTTTATCAAAGGATGCTGAATAAATAAGAGCCACTGAAGAAGATAACTTTAGTGAATAAGTTAAAAACTGAGTTGAATGGAGAAAATAGAGCATGAGTAGAAGACTGCCCTTTATGCTTAGCACTGATATCTATTCCTTCTCCCACCTCCATCAAAAATCAAAGAATCTCTCCAACATGCACAGATATTTCAGATATGTTGAAAATGATTTCCTCTTCTGTATTATAGGATCAGCTATCTAGAACTGGAAGGAACCTCAGAGGCCATGTAGTTCAACCCAGATTTAATGTTTTTACTGATGTCTTCTGTTTCTTACGTCATTGTAGTTATTCCCAAAATCCCTCTCTCCCAGAGAGCCATCCCATGTAACAAATGGTATTTAAAAAAATCAGCACAACTGATTGATGTTGAAAAAGTCGGAAAACATGTGCAATGTGTAACACCTGTGGACCTGTCACCTCCACAAAGGGAGGGGGTTGGTGGTCTTCTCTCCTCTATTTATTCAAGTCCTGCTTGATTTTCATAATTTTGTTACAGCTATTATCTCAACTAGTATCTTTGCTGATTCCCTAGAATTTTCCAAGTATAGTTGTTGCTTTTTCAGCATTGCTTTGTGAAGTATAATAATAACCTGTGACACATGAAATTTCCTTTTAACCTAATCCTTATGACCTTTTCTAGTGAAAAATCCTTCTAGCCTAGTTGCTCTTCTGTAAGGAGGTAACTCAAAATTCTCATCATCAACATATGTCTTAACGACTGATTACTTCCAATTGTAATTTATTATACTGCCTGTGGTTATAAGGCTAGTAATTATTGTTTTTAATTTTAATACTAATGGTAGTGAAATTAATCAGTGTTAGCACTCAGTAATAAATCTGGGGCTTTTCGGGGCATAATCAGGGAATTCTCTGCTTTATGCAGTTGCTGAGGGCCAGTTTTTGTTCTATTTGCTTCCTTTTGGATATAAAGTTTGAAAACCAGATTTAAAAGGAAGTGTATGGTTAGGAGATCTTGTTAGCTGATAATTTAACTGCACTCTAATGTTCATTGGAGAAAGACTTTTTACTCTCTCAGGTTTACTCCATTTCCCCCCTCCACCTATCACTTTCTAAATAAGAGTGTTGAAACAGCTTTGGTCTTTCTCCTTTGCTGTCTCAAATAACACTATCATACCATGAGCTGGGACTCCAGAAAAATATGATCATAGACTTGGAGCTGAGAGGGATTGTAGAGATCATTGAGTCCAACCAACTCTTTTATTTTACAGATAAGGAAACTGAGGCATAAAGAGATTGTGACTTGGCTAAGGTAACATAGCCAGTGTCAGAGGTAGAATTTGAGCTTATGTTCCTGAGCCCAAGCCTCTGTCCATTACGTCTAACTCCTGACTAATTTTTCTACTGGTTTTATTTGTTCATTTTAGATACAGATTTCTTAAGTGGATAGAGTAGGCTAAGCAAATTTCAGTACAGGAGTTATTGAACACTTTCATGATAACCAGTTCCCTATCCTAAAGGACCTAGCAATTTTTTGTTTAAAATAAATTTGTAAGTTGTTAGAGTGGAAAAGATACTTTCCACTCCTTTCATTTTATGGATAGGAACTGTGGTCAGGACAAGTCAAGTCACTTGCCCAAGGTCACATTGCTGTTCAGTGGTAGAACTAAGGCTGGAACTTAGGTCTTTGGACACCTAGGTGAGTGAGCTTTTTACTACACAAGGCTGGCCCCAGAGTAGAATGTGAATGATAAGTGGATGGTACAGATAAGAACACAAGAACATGTAAAACCTGTATTGCTGTTTTGTCTAGGAGTCAGTAACGAAACTGCATCTATGGGTTGTGGCAAAGTAGGGGAGGAGCTACTGGCAAGGGAAAAAAGGTAAGTTTAGTTTTAGAGTTTTAATAATGCCTCCACCAAAGACCTTGTCTAATGCTTCCTAGTAGCCTAGGGAACCTTGGGTTCTGTAGTACAGAGTTCTAATACAGCTCTGTTAGAAACTACCAAGCCTGAAGGGCTTTAAGTAATAAATTGTTTGTATGTTGAGAAACACAGTCTAGCTGGGTTTGAAAAGATTGGCCACAGGGCAATGAATTTTTTAAGCCAAAGCAATTGCTGAATACTATCTATTAAGTTATGGAGGGCTTCTGATACTTGTTTGTCAAAAGACAAAATCACAGATCCTTGAAGAAATAACTGTATAGTATAAGATTTGAAAAAATGTGGAAAATACACCTTTGAAAGGGGTTAATCCCCAGCTCCACTTTGTCTAGTTATTTAGGCTATCACAGTTGAAATATTGTTTCATTTTAAAGATCTAAACTTTGTAATCTCAAATTTTTACATTGGTACAAGTGTCCCTATCCAACCTCCCCCAAACTCCATATAGGAGAAGGGATATTAGAGTTGAAATATATTAATGTACTGTCTCCAGTGGGGTTTTTTTTTTCCAGACTAAATGTCAAGGTCTCATTTTTTCTTTCATTGTATGGTAGTGTAAAATTAATACTGTGATCTTTGTGGGTGAGAAGTCTTAAAAAAAAAATTTTTTTAAATGAACAAGATGTACAGCCAGAGAAATGTATAACAAAGAACAAAATATCTTTTGAATAAAATGGAGTTTCAGTGTAAAAGGATATACAGTTGGAGGACTTTTTCCCCCTCCATTCTTAGCAATTCTCTCTTATCACTTTCCTTAAAGGTAAGATCCTTGTGTAGAGGGATTTCCTCAAGGCATTTGCAAGATCCAGAGCAGGAGTTCTTAACGTGAGTGATGGACTTTTTTGGGGTGTTTGAAGTCTATGACCCTTTTCAAATAATGTTTTTATTTTTTCAAAATGAGATTTTATTGTTTATTTTTTTGTTTTTGTTTTATATCACCATCGTTTTTTCCTAGGATCTTTCTCACTTTCCCTCCCAGGAAGCCATGCCATATAACAAGTAGTATTTTTTTAAGGATAAAAAATAAAAAGAAGAGAAAATACTGGCATAACTGATCAACACATCAAAAAATTCTGAAACTATATGCAACGTACGATCCTTATGGACCTCCCACCTCTGCGAAGGGTTGAGAATGGGATGTCTTTTCATATCTCTTCTTTTAAGGTGTGTGTATTCTTTATAATTTTCCAATATTCACTTTTGATTTTTGGGGGGGGTGGTGGTTCTGTTTACATTGTATTTTTTAGGTTTTTCTTGGCTCTGCTTGCTTTGATCTAAATCAATTCATGTTGATCTTTTGATCCTCTGTATTCATTATGTTTATTACTTCTTATAGCTAGTAATGTTCCGTTACATTCATGTAACACAATTTGTTTAGCCATTGTTAAATGTGTGGGCATCTACATTGTTTCCAATTCTTTGCCATCATAAAAAGTGCTGCTATAAATATTTTTGTGTTCATGGCAACTTTGTTCTTAGATCAGTGATTTCTTTGGGGTGGGTAGAAGACCAGAAATAGCACCTCTGATTCCAAGGTTATGGATAGTTTAGTCACCTTTTTTTGCATATTTCCAAGTTGCTTTCCTAAGTGGTTATACCAGAGACGGAAACCTGCAGCCTCAAGGCCACATGTGGCTCTCTAGGCCATACTTGAGGAAGGACAGAGACGGCCACATGTCGTCTGGAGGCTGCAGGTTCCCCACCCCTGGGTTATACCGATTCACAGCTCTACCAGCAATGCACTCATATGCCACTTTTTCCACAACCCTTTTAACTTTGATTATTCCCACCTTTTGTCATCTTTGCTGGTTTGCTGAGTGTAAGATGAAAACTCAAGGTTGTTTTGATTTGCATTATGCTGATTCTTAGTGATTTGGAGCACTCTTTCATTTGGTTGTTAGTAGTCTGCAGTTCTTTTGAGAACTATTCATATCTTCTGAAATTGAGAATAACTTCTAGTCATAATAATAGCTAGCATTTATATGGCACCTATTATGTGTTAGCCATTTTACACATTTAATCTCATTTAATCCTCACAACAACTCTGGGAGGTAGGTGCTATTATTTCCCCCATTTTATAGTTGAGGAAAATGAGGCAAACAGAAGTAAAATGATTTGCCCAGGGTGACACAGAAGTGACTGAGGCTAAATTTGAACTTGGGTCTTTCTGTCTTCAGACCCAGTACTCTATCTAGTGTGCTACCTGGCTACTATCTATCTACCTACCTATCTATCTATGTATGAATGTATGTATATACACACATATGTGTGTATATTTGCCTCATATGAATGTACATGCATATGTGTAAATACATAACACACGTCTGTTAACCATTTATATAGCTGAAATAGCAAATTTATCACAGAAATTTGATGTAAAGATTTTTCCCCCATTCCACTGTTTTTCTTCTTATCCTAGGCCCATTAATTTTGTTTCTCCAAGAACCTTTTCAGTTTAATATAATAAAAGTTATCTGTTTTATTTTCTGTAATTACTTCTATCTCTTGTTTGGTTAAGAAAATATCTACTATCTATAGCTGAGAGAAGTATATAATGTTTCTTTTCTAATTTTCTATATTATGATCCTGAATAGCTAGTTCATGTATCCATTTAGAATGTATTGTGGAATACATTGTAAGGTGTTGGTCTAAGTCTAATATCTGCCAGACTTCTTTCCAGTTTTCCCAGCAGTTTTATCAAATAGGGTGGTCTTTCCTAAATAATTTATATTTTCTGGTTCATCAGACACTGAGTTTAATATTGGTATTGTTTTGTTGTCTATGGTTCCTTTTAGAGCAATGTAGTTTCCTTGTTTATCCTGTTTTTATGTTGGGAGTGAATGTTTGTTTTTGTTTTATCTGATATCATGGTTATAATTCCTGCTTTTTTTTAGAGAAACCTGATGAATAGTAAATTTTTTTTCTAGTTTCTCATTTTTATTCTGTGTGTCTTTAGTTTTTAGGTGTATATCCTGTAAGCAGCAGTTCATGGGGTTTTGTTTTCTTATCCAATATTTTTTGTTCTTTTGGATTGTTTAAAATTCAAGGGTAGGGAACGTGCGGCGTGAGGGCACATGTGGTCCTCTGGGTCCTCAAATACACCCTTTAACTGAATCTAAACTTCGCAGAACAAATCCCCTTAATAAAAGAATTTGTTCTGTAAAATTTGGACTCAGTCAAAAGGCCACACCCAAGGACCTAGAAGGCCCCATCTGACCTCCAGGCCGCAGGTTCCCCATCCCTGGTTTAAATCATTCACATTTAAAGTTATAAGAGTTACGTTAATATTTTCGTCCATTTTGTCTCTAATTTTTTTTTTCTGAATCAGCATTTTTTTCCTTTTCCCCCTGTAAACACTGTTTCTTCAGTTATTTTAGCTTAATCTACTTTAAGGCAATGCTATTCCAACCAGCTTTCTTTCCCTCACCTTGAAGGCTGTCATCTCCATTAATTTGTTACTTCTTTCCTTAGTTTTGGAGTTTTGCATATTGCTAGTTTTGCTTATTACTTCCTTGTTCTGTCTTCCTTTTATTTAATTCTTCTCTATCATTTAAAAAAAAGTATTCAAGTAAAATGTCCCTTCTTCTCCCCTTCAACTTTTTTTTTCCCATAGTATTTAAATTTTCATTTTCTTTGTCTTTTTCTCAAAAGGATTTTTTTTACCTCCACTTCATTATTTGTCTCCACTTTCTGTTTTTTCTACACCTTTATTCTTTGATTCGTGGCCCTTATGCTTATTTAGCCTTTTAGTCTTTGTATTCCTCATGTGATTAAAGCTTTGAGTATTTTGTGTTCCTTCTAAACATTTGATGTGTTGTTATTGCCCTGTAGTTTTTGTCCCCCAGCTGCCTTTTCCTGTTGTGCCTTACCCTTAGAAATACTAATTCTTGCAGGTGATAGAGAGGATATTGCTCCAGAGTAAGAATTTTCCTTTGTCCCTGGTTGTGCAATTCATTATTAACCTTTGCCTGCCCTCTGGTCATTTTTTTCCCCCATTTGTCATGAAATCTCTTCCCCAGTTTCCTGCCTTTTTACTCTCTTGGGTGTCATTTGCCCCAAGGAGCTCTGATTCCCCTTCACATGAGGCAGGATGAGTAGTCTAAGCGCAAAATCCCTAAAGATTATACTCTTTGTACAGTCCCCATCAACTTTCCCCCATGGGAGCGTTCATCAGTAGCATCCCCTTGCTACCACCACTACAACAATTCTCCTGTATATTCTCTTCTTAATGAGAAATTACAGCAGTTCTTTTCCCTTCATTGTTAAGCTTTGCCTTGCTTAGGTTATAACATATATTCTGCTCTATTTTTTTCCTTTCCTTTCCCTACTTTTCCCCACCTTCCAGTTCTGTAATTTAGTCCCGAAAATCATTGATTCACCTGTAAGGGGGAGTGTTGTGGGGTCCATGATGTTTCAGAACTGCATTTGACTTCTGCATTCACTTTTGTCTCCTTATGTACTTTGAGAAAGACTGCCCTTAATTGTCTCTCTTTTACAGTTTTGTTGTTGACCTTTTTTTTTTTTTTGCTTCATTTGTTTACCTTTCTCGTATTTTTGTTGTTTGTGGTGTTGGCAAAAATAATAATTTGTTCTGCTCTGGTTTTCTTTCTAAGAATGCTTCAAACACTTTTTATTGAATGGCCATCTTTTTTTTTTTTGATTAATGGTTAGGCTTAGGTTTTTTTTTTTAATTTGTTTATTTTTTAGGCAACTGGGGTTAAGTGACTTGCCTAGGGTCACACAGCTAGTAAGCGTCAAGTGTTTGGTCTGAGGCTGGATTTGAGCTCAGGTCCTCCTGACTTCAGGGCCTGTGTTCTACACCACTGCACCACCTAGCTGCCCCGAGGCTTAGGTTTTTAGGATATGTCATTTTGGGTTGTATCTTGAGCTCCTTTTCTATTTAGAACACATTTTTGGGAGGAAAGGGAATAAGCATTTATATAGGGCCTACAATGTGACAGGCATTGTGCGAAGTCATTTTTACAGATATTATCTTGTTCCTCACAATAGCCCTTTGAGGTAGGTGCCATAATTATGCTCATTTCACAGTTAAGGAAACTGAAGCAAACAGAAATTAAATGACTTGCACAGGGTCACACAGCTAAGAAGTGTCTGTTTGAAATTGAACTTGTGACTTCCTGACTCCAGACCTAGTGTTCTGTCTGTTGGACCACTACCTGCCTCTACATAATTCTGTTCCCTCTGGTGGTTTATGGTTGGTGTAGTATAGTCTTGTGTTATTTAAATTTCCTTTCCTTTTATTTGAAGAATTTAATTTTATTTCTTCCGATCACTTGGACTTTTTTTTCTTTTTATATTGGACAGATTATTAAATTTAATCATAACAGGAATTGAAGTTTGTTAGTATGCATTTGTTGCTTTTTTTTTTCCCTAGAGGAAAACTTTGTATTCTTTCAACTGATACCTTGTTGTCTGTTTTCAGAAGTTCTGGATAATTTTCTTGTATTATTTCTTGTATTATGAGGTTCAGGTTTTTTTTTTTAACTTATTAGGTTCTTCTGGGTGATGTATAATCCTTAAATTGTCTACACATTTTGTCTTCAAGATCAATATTACTTTTATAGAGATTTTTTTTATTGTTAACTGCTTTTTACTTCTTTTATTCCAGATTATCCTTTACTTCTGTGTATTTGCATTCCCAATTTGTTGTTCTCTTTTTTGTTTCTTTGATACTTGCCATGGGGGATTCAAATTTTCCTGTTTTGCCAATTATTTCTGCTGTGCAAGCCATAAATTCACCTTTCACAATTCTTATTTATTTAAAAAAAAAAAGCATTTAGGAACATCCTGATACAATTCCA